GTCTTTTCTGATGGTTTTAGGGGGGTTTGGTGATACCAGACCAGCAAACCACCTTACGTAGTCCTGATGTAAATAAAAGCAGATGCAAAAATAACAAACATCACACTTTATTTGTGTTAGCATGTTGCTAAGCTACTGAAAGAATACCCTAACAAGCATAAAATACATATACATATACTCATAAACACTTGATAAAATAAAGCAATAAGCCCTGTGAAGCCGTGGTTTACAGTGAATTTATAACAGCTAAGGGACGTTGTTAGGCTCGACGCGAAGCGGATCTTATTGCTTTTATAAAACGGTTATTCCATATACGTAGTTAGGTTTCACAAAATAAAGTGTAATGATATTAATAAAAACAGTATTCTTTCACCAAACAATGTAGTTCCTCAGAAACAGTTGTGGTTGCAACAAAGTGGTTGCCAAACAACTCACAAAGTAAACAAAGGTGTATGTTTGTAGAGTAATTTACAACAGCTTTGAACGCGGCTCAGCCAATCAGAATCAAGGACCGGAACTATCCGTTTTATAATATTAACTTTAATCATACTAAACTGCTTTATTGAGTTTTTGCTTCCGAATTATTATTTGTATTTATTATTTATTATAAATAACTGAATTGAATTGATCTGAATAATTTATCCTCTGTAACAGCCGCTTTCTAGATGAAATTGCATGAAGTTGTGAATTATATATTTTGCACACACATGCACATAAAAATGATAAAGAATTAAACATTATTTTCATTAATTAAAATGAAGCTGACATATGAAAATGAAACATTAGATTAAAAAGAAAGAAAGAAAGAAAGAAAGAAAGAAAGAAATTTTGCTTAGGCAACTATCTGAAATAAAATAAGTTTAAACTGAATTAATTCAATTATTTAAATTAAAACAAACATACATACATACATTTGAAAGCCCCAAAATTAATAAAATTGGAAAAAAGCACAAAATTACTAACACTGAAACTGAAAATATAAAAAAAATCAAAGCTAATTAAAAATATAATTTAATAAATATAAATAATATTAAAATTGCTTTATGACACAGATGCTGTTTTCTTGTTTACTACTCAAGTAAACAAAACTAAAATACTCCAAAAGTGTCCAGCTCATTACATTTTGGAATACAGTTCATCTTCTCTGGTTACTGTGATGCCACCCAACTTGATTTTAGCACACAGATGTAAACGAAAGGTCACAGGAAGTAGTTTATACTAGCACTACAATACTCTAATAGCAAACAGAAACGCCACTAAACCACCTACTCTCATTTTAAAGCAGACAGAGACAAATATGAGTTAGAGAACTTTAGCAGACAGCTTGAGTATGAGGTTATGTGCATGTGCACCCTAGGGTGATTTTGATCGTGATTAATGTGGTTCGCCTTTCAATTTTAATTTTCATTAAGGACCTGCTGTCCTCTTCGACTCCTAAATAGCAATCGAATTAATAAAACATGTCCTTTGCAATATACATTGCAGGCCTGCAGCAGGGAATCCAAAATGCCTTCGGAAAGCCGAACAGATTGAAGCGCTTTGTGTGTTCACCAGCCGCCCCCCACCGCGAGCCCAGCCTGTGTCATGAGTGGCAACTGGCAAATAATTAGACGGCCTCGTCTCATTAGAACAGGAGACAGCGCACAGGTAAAGAGAACGAGGTGGAGTGAAAGCAAAGCAGACAGACAGCCAGAGAGAGCGACGAGCAGAAGAGGAGAAAGAGAGAGAGAAGCACTATTTATGAGCCGTTAATGGGCTGATAAAGTTTGAAGAGAGAGTGCAGATAAAAAGCGAGGGGAAACAGGAAGTTCGGTTACTTTATTTGTCAAGCTGAAAAATGAGAAAACAACAACAGCAGAAAAAACTTTTGGTCTGCTGTCGAAACTTTGGTTGGAGGAGTTTTGTGTTATGAAGTCCTTACATTAATGAGCAATTAAAGTCTGCATGTGCGAGTGTGTGCTAGAGTGTGTGCTACAGGTGGTTGCCAGGTAGTCACAGATCTTTGAATCCCATCAGGAACACCCATAAATCACTGTGCACGGTGCATTTTTAGAACAACATAATTTGCTGCGTTTATGAGTCATTTATGCCTTTGAGGTCCCAAAAGAGAGCTTTTGTCAGATTTAGCTCATTTCTGGGGACATTTTTGTCCTCAAACTATAGTAAATCCCTGCCACCCACACATATATAGCACCCTGCATAAACAAACACATTTCACACGCAGGTTCTGCTCCCAAACATAGTCTACTGCCTAATTAGAACACATTTTAGGTGCAACTGTAAGGCTTGCGTAGGTTTGCTTTTTAAAGGGATAGTCCATCCAAAAAAAAAAAAAAGATACCTTAAAGATATATTCCAGCCAAAAATGAAAATTCTTACATTGTTTACTTATAACTAATATGGGTTTCTTTCTTCTGTGGGACACAAAATGAGGTATTTGAAGAATGTTGGTAAATACGGAGTTCTGGCATGAAACTCTAGATGGCGCAGTCCGATAGGTCTAACTCAATCTGACCTAATGACACATCACATGGCACATGGTATCGGTAGCCAATGAGCTCGCTGCTCAACATTCAAATACAGGTGCATCTCAATAAATTAGAATGTCGTGGAAAAGTTCATTTATTTCAGTAATTCAACTCAAATTGTGAAACTCGTGTATTAAATAAATTCAATGCACACAGACTGAAGTAGTTTAA